GGAGGAGGGGATAGCACATGAGATGGCGTCTTAGGTGGACTTGGAGTTCAGAATAGTGTAATATTCGTGTGTGAGAGGCAGGCTGTGAAAGGAAGAAAGTGTTTAACTGAAGTTTATAGAAACAGTGTATTTTGAACTCCCAAGATCCAGTCCCAAGTCCTGGTGGGACTCAGGCAGCTTATTCACTGGCCCCCTTGGTAAGCGCCTTTGGTGTGGGCCTGGAGGAGAACCATTACCTATGAGCCTACTGCCACATGGGCTGAAAATCAAGCACCCTTTCCTGCTCCTGCCCGCCCCGCCATAGCTACTGGGGATAGATGTCTCAGCATCTCTTGGGAGGATGACCATATGCAGTATAGCAAATATGGGGGATTTCCTTCTATCTTCTGTTTGAAGGCAAAGGGTGTTTTCACTGTTTTGTTTTATGTTTCTCTTGTTTTATTCAGTATTCTCAATTGGTTTTATAATGTTCTATTTTTGGTTTGATTTTGCTATACCTAATTGACTGGACAACTATTGTGAAGTTAAAGAGATGTATCATAGTACCTATTACTACTATCCAGGTATCCTACTGTGAAATCCTGTACCAGTTTCACTGCATTGTCTCCCATTGGCTTTGTTCTGTTCTTTTGCCATTGCATTTTATTACTTTCAAAATAAAATTTTAAAAAGGTGTAAAGATAAAAACAGTGTATTGTAACAATAAATGCATTCTTTCTGTGGAATCCACTTAAGATAATATTCAGCATTGCAAATATAATATTCCAAAATAGAGTCCTGATTCTTGACTTAGAGATTTGCCAGATTAACATTCTTTTTGCAAAGATAATCTTCCAAGCATTGGCTCAAAGGCCATGTGTCATCTCCAGTGTAACCTCAGTTCAGGAGGACTGATGGGCTGAAGGAAGTGATCAACAAGTACATGATGCTAGATTTAGAACAGCTAATTGGACTGATGGACTATCTCTGTGAAGATTTGCATTAGTCAAAATCACTGTGCTAGGTGTGTGATGCAGGGGCCCTAGGCCTGAATCATGTGGCACACTGTAAATACAGAAGTCCGAGTGGGCCTGACAGGCATCTCTGCACAGGTAGTTGTCAGGAGTCCCCATCAAGTTCATGGTGGCTGTTGCCAAAGTGTAAAAGGCAAGAAATAAGTGTCCTGAAAGGGTCCGTATCTCACTGTAGCAGACTGGATTGGGCCCCCAGAATCCAATGCAAAAATTCAGATGCCTCTGACACTCATGAGAATGGGTGTCATGGTGGGCATGGTTGGGACTAGAGCAGAGTTGGGGATAAAACTAGGTTGATAACTCTAAGTTCCATGAAGCCTATGGCAATCATGGATGGCCTGTGAAGAGAATTTAAGCCATCGAATCAGTCTGGCTGGGTGATGGGCCTTGCTGGGTCATGAATGCTCTGTCAAAGGACTAGTGGACTTGGAATACCAGTGGTCTATGCCCAAGAATCAGAACCCTTTCCCCAAAAGATCCAGACTGCAGAGCATCAGTAAGGATAGATGTGGAAGGGGAGGTAGGCTTCTGTGGCTGAGAAGATAACACCTTTGGGGGAGTGAGGGCCAAAAGAAATGTTTAATCTTTGAAAGAAAGGGCTTGTAGGAGGTCCTACACTTGTTTTTGCTCTGAACTTGAGTGATTTTATGACACTCTGGAGGATCTGAGAATAGCTATTCACTCCCACATCCTAGTTCCGCCAAGCAGATCCAGATCGGACCCAGCAACGTGGAATTCTCTGTAGGTCCTGCTGGTACAGGCTTCTGGATGAATGAGAATTGTTTCTCCTGAAGCTGTGGCTGGTCCTGCAATTCGGAAAGGTTCGAGCCTTGCTGTCTGAGATGAAAGGATGTATCCTGGGGTGCTGTCCTTAGGAGGAGTGACCTCATGTGTGCTCACTGTTGCCCCAGCCAGCATTTTCTCTGGAGGAACTCTGGCCTCAGTGTGCTACGCCCTGCTTCCTTTGGGCCAGTTGTAGGGCTTCTGTGAGCACTGCTTTGTTCATACAGGAAAAATGTGGCCTCTTATGGCAGAAGGAGTATAAACATATGCGTCCCCTAGTACATAAGTGAGAAGCCATGGTCCCTCTGAGTGGACCCTGAGTGATACCAAGGACACAAGACTTAGCATGTGGCATGCAGGGCCCTGCTCAGTCCCATTTGCAGCCTGTACCCAAGCAACCTCATCCCTTTTTCCTGCATCTGTTGTCCTGTGGACGGCATGAATCAGAGTCAGAATGGGAAGGGCCAAGGAGGTCTGAAAGGGAGTTTAGGGGAAGGGGCAAAGAAGGATCTCCTCCATCAGACTGAGGCACATTCCAGACTCTTCTCTTCTCTTCTCTTCCTTCTTTTGTTGTCTTTTTGAGATGGGATTTCATTATGCAGTTCAGGCTGGCGTTGAACTCATTTTGTAGCCCAGGCTGGCCTTGAACTTGAAGCAATCCTCCTGCCTCAACCTCCTGAGTGCTGCCAGATTTTTTTGAAATCCTAGTACTTTTTAAGTGAGAGGACTCACATGAGGGGGAGGAAACAGCTGTCTTTGTCTAGTAGCTAACGTAAGGGGCTCTTATTTCTGTAAGACAGCTGAGGACAACAAACAGAAAAAAAGACATTGGGTAGGTAAAGTTCTATTAAAAAAACACATGCACACAACATTCAGGGCTGGGGGTAGGGGAGCTCGGCACAGCCACACTCATCGTACCCTTCCCTCACTGCAGCCTCCAGGGCCTGCTGCAGTGAGGGATTCCACTGTGCCTTGCTGCTCAGCACTGGTGACATCACCACTTAATAAGGCCAGGGAATCATAACCACATTTCAAAGACTCATTCAGCTTTCTCATTAAGATTCTATAGAATTTTTTCCCCACATTGCCAAAATAGTGCTAAAAATAGCCCCAGTAATACTTCTCATGTTTGTAGGCAATCATAAATGTTCCATAGTGAATATGTCCAGCAGATGCAAATAACTGCAGAATTGGGCCCTGAGGTTTACTTAGTAATATGGAACACATATTTGCCAAAAGAGTTTTTAAAAATGAAGCAAAAACCAAATCTTGGGCTAAGCTTTCTAGGGGAAGCAAACCTGTTTAGCCACTTCATTTTCTTGTAGGAAAGTGTTTATAGACAAAATACATATGTAAAAACTGCATATGAAAAAACACTTCAAAAGTGACTAAATATTAATGTTTTTACTAATTTCAACTTAAAGGGTATACTCAAAATTTAATGGAGTCAATTTGATTTCCAAAGTATAAAATTATTTCTGAGATAGCATGACATGCTTGTATGGGTCTCTCCAGCTCAGGACAGGGACACACAGCCTTGGGGTAAGTGGGCAGGTGGTGAGGGGCAGAGATCTTCCCCTGGAACACAGTCAGTGTGCAGACTGGCAGTTTTCGTTAGGATAAGTTGTGCATGCCCCTAGTCTACAGAGAATGAGATACTCCTGAAGAGGGGTAATGAAGTAAAATATAATGACTAAAAATGTAAGTGCCACAGTAGTATTTTTATTTTTTAGAGTATCCTTAGTCTACATAAAGCACTGGCTTCCAAAAACTCTGCAGAAGTGGTCAGTAAGAATCTCTTTGCTTTTAGGCCTACTAGCCATTTTGGGCATACATGTGTTTGGAGGATGGAGATGTGCGCAATTTCTGATTTCTAGCTCCACTTTTGGTTTATAACTGGAGCTGACCAGAAGATAAATTGATGGCTTTTATAAATTCAGCTTTCAATCATTGTAACTTTTTGATTAGCCTTGCCTGGATCATTTTAACCTCTACAAGTACATCTACAGATGGAAGTCCTCTTGTTCTTAGGGCAGTGAAAATTAACTCTCTTCTTCCCTTAGGCCCTAAAAATTATTTTGACCAAAATGTTTCAGTCAGGGGTTTTATGTAGACATGGCTTAACTGAGTCATTAAGAATTTTATTGGTTAAGGTAGGCATATATTTTTCCTAGTAGACATAATGACATAACAGTAATAAAAATGTAATATTCAAGTAATTGCTGTAATGTAATTACAGTTTGGTCATAAAGTAAGATTAGAGGTCTGGGATGGCTGTTTGTGGGTGTGCATTTTAACGTCTGAATATAATCTTGGAGGTACCGGTCCGGTCTCTTGGGAACACTAGAGCAGTTCATCACATAACCAGGTGGCCAGAGCCCAACTGAACCAGCACTGTGCAGGCGCGACCTGTTTACTCTGTCAGCCCTCTCTGACGTCAGTGACCTGCCTGCCTCATGTAACCTAACCACTGTGGTCACTGAGAAGTGTTTCTGCTTTCACATAGACAACAAAAGCAGGAGATAACAAAAGCCAGAGTCCTTGCTAGTGAAGGGGACAGAATTGAGGGGGCATCCTGGAACTGCCACCTCTGTCCACGTGGTGCTGTAGTGTTTGTAGCTTTGCTTCTGTGTGCCCTAGCATGTTGTGTCAATCTGCACTGGCTTTTGAAGGGAAAGATACTGTACTTCCCAGATTGAGCTGTTTTAGGCATTTGTCCATTTACAAAAAATCAAAGTATGTGAACTGGAGATATTCTTTGAACTGTTATAAATGAATTTCTCCCTATTTCTTAATACATTAGTCTGAGGAAGATTAAATTTAGGCCCAAGAACTACTTAATCATTTGTGAACTCGAACAGTTGGAAGAGTATGTGATAGTATGCAGGAGGGACACTTCTTTCCCTTCCCATTTCAGTGGCCCGTGGTTGCCAGTCAGAAAATACTAAATAGAAATTCTCTTTAAGTTTTAAATTGTGTACCATCCTAAGAGGTACAGACACTAAAATCTTGTGCCACCCTTCTGTATCTTGTCTGGAATGCGACACGAATCCGTACTTTCCCCAGTGAATCCATTGATGTGTATCCAACCTGCCTGTGGCTCACTTGGCTGTCTTGATTACCACAGAAACTGTCCAAGTGTTGTGGTGCTTGTCTTCATATTGACCGGAGCCGCGGGAGACAGGAGACCAAACTCGAGCAGGATCAGCTCTCAAACTTTATTACGTACAGCGAACCGGACCTAATAAGGTCCGCCACCCTCGGTGTTGATTCCTCTTCCGCCGTTGGGGGCAGGAACAACCTCTTATAAGGGGAAGCAGTATCCAATCACAGAGAAGCGCGCCTAACAAGCTGATAGGCTAGTGTCACGGGTAACTGGGCAGATATGACAATTTGGCGGGCTTGTTCAGGCCGGGAAGAACCCGGAAGCAGGAAATGGGCGCCATCATAGGCGGCTTCCCACATCTCCCCCTTTTTTATTTATTAAAATAGGATGGTCTGTGGGTCCCTCCAAGGTGTCTATGACCTTGTTGCTGTTAGACACCTAGGAGTGGGCCTACCTTGTAGGCCGAGGCATGAGAGAATGTAGAGGTCTATACCCTGCTGTGCATCACCCTGTTTTGTGCATATCCTTGCGCCAGGACCATGCTCAAGGTGAGTGGTTCATTTTTTCGCAGGGCCAGGCTTTTGTGAACTGAACCTGGATGCATATAGACATTCATTCCTGCCTTCCCCCCAACCTTTGGGGCGGATGGCACTGCAGTACCCTTGGTCTCGCATCTCAATGCCAATAATTTGACTCCGGGAGGGACCCCTGGCCTTATAGGCCATGTATATCTGAGTGGAGCCTGTCTTAGGTTGACCGGGAGGGCTTTTCCCGTCTTACCCGTCATTGGCTTGCCCACTCAGCTCTTATAGCTGATGTTCTGCAATGTGAAGGAGATATGCGGCAGCCTGCTGGCCTGATGGGCCACCTGCTGCCATTTGCATGGCTGCCATAGCTGTGATCTTAACCTGCTGCTGAGTTTGTATGAGGCGATCTAACAAGCATTTAATAACCACAAGCCCTACTAGGATAGCCATGGCAATTAGGATCCAAAAAGAGGTAATCGTGGGACAGAAGGAAGAGAAATGGAGGGTCGACCGGAGTTAAGCGGGTGGGTCATAATCAAGGACTGTTTGATTGATGGTGTAAACCCTGGGTGAGGCGGGCGAGGCCACCGAAAAAGGTGCCAATGTAGGCGGGTGGTGCCAAGGACCCCAAAGATATTGTGGTGGTTCTGTGGAATCTGAGCATATCACAGGGGTGATTAATAGGAACCCACAGAATAGAAAAAACTCCAAACCAGACATTTTAGTTTGTAGATGGTCTCGGGCGCTGAGCGTCGGTCCCAGAAGGGTCGAGTTGACTTGTGTCCACGGGCTTATCCTCCTGTGCTTTATCAGGAACTGGTGGGGAGTTTACTGCTCGCGTCAATCTTTCCGGGACCCACAGCGGTTCGCAGCCTGGTTCCTGTGGGAAGACACAAACCGCACCTCGGGTCCAGCTAATCACTGGATCCGGGCCCATCCATTGTCCTGTAAGGACATCTTTCCATCTCACCAGCCCTTTGTCGGTTGGGGACGGATTATTGTGCTCTATGGCAGGGGAATGATTATTATGATTAAGGTTTAAAAAATTTATGGTAAAGAGTGCCAATGATATTCTTCCTCCTCCTCCCCTGCCTCCTACTTGTACCGGGAATGCATGGAGACCGGAACACTCAAAGGGAAGCTGCGACCATACCCTCTGGTGGAAGGAACGTAATTGATTATCTATGGTCCCTTGAAACGTACACCGGAGAATCGCCCAGGAATCTAGACACGTTGTTAAGGTCTCAATTTGTTAATGGTCAATAGCCTTAGCAGGAGACATTTTTGGATGGGCCCAAAGCAAGGGTCCCTGTTGCCAAATGACAGCCGTGGGTTGTCTAGCTGTCTTGAGAACGCACACGCAGAAGGCAACCCAGGAAGTAGCTCTCCCTCTAACCAGGGCGGTGCCATAGGTTGTGGTGGCAGCCCAGGGAGCAACTCCTCTTCCAGCCACGGCGGTGCAGTGGGGCCTGGCGCCCTGAAAGGGGCGATCGTGGGTCGCGAACTTGCCAAAGGGCGGAAGGGCTTAAGCTCCTCCCGTAAGGCGGAGTAGCTCGGGCAGGGTGGTGTTTGGTTCCCCTTTTTATCTTCCCGAGCCCTAAGTTCCTTTTAACGGTGTAGGAGGGTCATGCTTAGCAAAGACGACCTCCTCTTCTGAGCCTTCCGAATCCGAATCAGAATTAGAGCCCTGAGGGTCCTCCGGAGACCCACAATCGGCCGAGCTCAAAAGCCTGTCGGGCTGTATTAGCGAAGCGAAAGCAAAACAGATGCAAAGGGAAAAGAAAAGAAAAAAAAAAAACCGGCGTCCACTCGTGTGGCGCTCAAAATCTGTTAGGTGCGTCCACCCAACCCAGGTGACCCAGTACTCACCTGTCCCGGGAACCGCTGTATCTCACGTAGCTGATCAGGGTGAAGAGAAGAGGTGCTCGCGGCCTTCCGTTGTTATTGGGCCAGGTCCTCCGTCGTACCGCAGGCGACAGCAATCGCACCTCCCGGCCGAAGAGGCACGTCGCTGAGTCTTTTATTCCCCGTACGGGGGCCACCAGATGACCGGAGCCGCGGGAGACAGGAGACCAAACTCGAGCAGGATCAGCTCTCAAACTTTATTACGTACAGCGAACCGGACCTAACGAGGTCCGCCACCCTCGGTGTTGATTCCTCTTCCGCCGTTGGGGGCAGGAACAACCTCTTATAAGGGGAAGCAGTATCCAATCACAGAGAAGCGCGCCTAACAAGCTGATAGGCTAGTGTCACGGGTAACTGGGCAGATATGACAATTTGGCGGGCTTGTTCAGGCCGGGAAGAACCCGGAAGCAGGAAATGGGCGCCATCATAGGCGGCTTCCCACATCATATAGCCCTTACTTTATTTAATAATGGCTCCACAGTGTAAGTAGTCATGATTCTGGCAATTTTAATATAGTAGATTGTTATGGATCTATTTTATTATTGTTGTTAGTGTCTTACTGTGCCCAATCTAGAAAGTAGTTTATGACAGACAAGTATGTACAGACAAAAACAGTATATACAGAAATCAGTAGTACCTGTAGTTTCAGACATCCACAAGGGTCCTGAAATAAATCTTCCACTGTAAGGGAGGACTATTGTATTTGCATTTACAATATCTATGGTAATAATTTAAAGACCACTAGTTTTTTTCCCTTTGTTACTATTTTCCTTTGTAATTGGTAATTTGAAGTTGGTGGCGAGATTTGAGCTCGGTAAATATCTGCTGGTTGTCTGGCTTTTCACCCACTGATGGTCTCTTAGTGACATGATTCCTTCTGTATGTACTATTTGATGTGAGGCAAAGAACTCTTTCTTCCATTATATGCTTAATTTATAAGGTGTGACTCATGGGAATTTATTCTTCGATGGTAACCCATTACTGCCTGTATTTATTTGGATGCTTGCATCATTCCATGTTCAGTCTGAGCCTCTCCAAACCTGTGGTTTGGACATGTCCCCCTGATTCTTTGAATCACATCTTATTTTTTTGTATCATAGATGTTCTGGGATCATTTTTCCCCCAGGAATTTCACACTGCCTTAGTCTTGGAAAATTCCCTTTCTCCAAAGAGCCCTGAATACCAGGGGAAAATGACATCAGAAATTAAAACTTAAGATCTTAGGTATGAACGACATCACTTTTTAAATGTGTGAAATGTATTTCCAGCATGCTTTGTCAATTTTGAAGGAATTTAGGGTACTTATCTAGAACTGAACATGTGCTAGAGGAGAGAACTTTAGATCCTGAAAGAAGTGGAAACTTAGGAGGGAATCTGCTCCCTGCCAGTAGTTTAGATGTGTCATGCTGTGTGTGAGTACACTCTTAGCAAATTAATCAAGATCCTTAGGCTTTGTCCTTCTAAGCAAATACTGTTCTCTAAATCTATTTCAAAAGTGTGTTAGTTGCTGATTTATGATCCCATCAGACATCAACAGTAGACTGTTTCAAAGGTGTTTTGCTAGTACCTGTGACTTTCAGCATCCATTGTCTCTGATTCTCCTTTTTCATGGAGATAATCACATCTGCATGGGACAACTCTTAGTGGCAGCCTGTGGTATGCTTGGGCTTTGTGATTCCTTCTTGCAGGTCATCTGAGAAGTAAACAGTGTAGAATCTCCTTCCAAGCTTTGCATCTGCAGTGTTGTTTTCTGCTGTGGAGAATCTGCCTTTAGGGCCTAGCAAATGAGAGAAGGCAGCTACATTGTGCCAAAGTGGGGAAAGAATGGCTGGAATAAGATGGGACATACAGGATTTCCTCTTTCTCTGATTCTTCTGAGTCAAGTCAAGGGAAAGCAGAACTTGGTATTTGACAGACCCAGATTTGTTGGCTTTTACTTGGAATTGAATCTCTTATTGCTTGAAAAATGTTACTTTTTCTTTAAACTTGTTTCTCATTAATCTTGTGTTAAGCATAATCTAACCCTGTTAGCTGGGTAGGCTGCTTCTGTTTCAATTAGCATATATTTCCATAAGTGTTGAGTGGGGAAAAGGAAGGAAGAAGTTGAATTTCTAAACTATTGACCTTGAGGGACTTGTATGAAGGTGTGTTTGACATGGGCATAATACAACTGACTTTTAAAAAGCTCTAGTAAATGCTAAGTTATGGTTGGCTTTGATGATTTATGCTAAGCAGAATAAACTATGATGGAAACATAAAATATTTCTAAGCTTACACTTCAGTAACTCAATACAAATGAAACTCAGTCTTCTTAGAGTATTGACAATCTCCAAAGGAAACCAGATTGTGTGTTCTTTGTGTGCTTGTCACACATACCAAGGTGGAGTTGAAAACGCTTTAATATCTTGATTTGAAGGTTCTGGGTGATGTCCCCATTTGCAAACCATCTGTATCAGTCAGGCTTACTAGTGATATAAATACAACACCAGGTATACAAATAATATAAGAAATTACAAGATTGGCTTACAATGGTCAGCCACAAAGTTGGATGAGGGAGCATGCAGAAAGTGTCTGCATGATGGAGACTGAAGGGTCCAGCCCAAGGGCTGGAGCTTACTGCAGTGTTCCATGCAAGTCTGGATCAGGAGACCCACGGGTCCCTGACGAAACACTGAGGAATCGACAAGGGAAGGCTGAAGAATCCCCGGCGGAAGCCGAACAGTTTGTGCCAGGAGATGACATCCAAGCTGAAGGCAAAGACTGGAGCTCCTCTGCCGTCAGTCCCTCCTCTTTTGCCTTTTGTTGAACGCAGGCTGCTCGCTTGGGGTGGGTGAAGCACTCACACCATCTGCTGTGTCCTCCTTGCACAGGTTGAGGATGTTACAATGGCCCTGGCCATTGTAAGGATGACCCTGGCCCCTTGCTCAATCACTTAAAACGTCTGACCTTCTCAAGTTGACACAATGAACAATATCCTAGAATGGCAACAGCTTGTCCTCTACACCCCAGGATGTACAGCTGCTGAATCCCTTAGGTAAGTTCTAGACTTCTCAAGTTGACACACACTGTACAAACCGTGACACTATCCCCACCCTTGGTTGCATTAAAGGACTTTCTATCCATCTGTTGAAGGGGAATGTAATAGACAAGGCTTCTGCAGCCAATTCAGTTCATTGTTCGTACTAACACAGGCTGACTGCCTAACTAGAAAGTGAAGAATTAAACCAATGAAGCTTATTTAAGCTGAGAGAACCTGTCACTTCCTGTGAGACGTCTGGTAAGAAAGTAAACAGGAAGTGCTGAATTGGTTTGGTTGACTCCTGTAGGCAAAATGAAAAATAAAATCGGTGTTTACCAAATGAAAAAGCACAAAGGTAGTAGAGAAATGCTATTTTCATGCTTCTAAAAAGGTATTATGAATAACACAAGGTTTCAAACCTGTGATTGAAAAGTATGTTTAAAGGTTTTGATTAGGTGTCTTCAAAAATAGACATTTTAGACTAAAGTAAGTTACTTAGAATTCTTTTACCTATGCTGTTTTTGCCCCTAATCCATACTGTATAAATGTCCCACTTAGTCTTAAAGGCACCCAGATATAGTAGTTTGGTGTTCCCACTTAGTAGATGGGGGAAGCCACAGCCCCAAAGTTAGAGCAATTTACCAAATGTCACATAGTTGGCTAGGGACACATTAAATTTGGGACCCATGTTACTCATCAGGGAACTCATGTGGATAGACTGAATTTCTTAGTGTCAGACTCAAGGAGGACATGGGCCTTGTAGGGCATGAGCCAAATGTGCTGTTGGTATAATTTGGACCAGAAGACAGAGTTAGATTTGTGGGTCCAAGCTGAGTGTACCCCAGCCCAATTAGCATCTGTGGCAAGTTCTTTAAGTTATCAGTAGCCTCAAACTGAAAAATGAGGTAATTTGCAGTTCTAACATGAATCTGAGAAAAGGACTGAAAAGGGTGATACAATTTAGGGAAATAAAGAACAGAGTAACGGAAATAAAAATAAATCATTCTGGGCAAGGGTAATTCATAATATCTTAGCAGGGTTGTCTGAGGTCAGTTAAACTTTAATAACGCAGTTTTCACAAGAACACCAATACTCAGACAAGCAGTTGTCCAGGAGAAAGAATAGGCAAAACTCATGATTAGGCAGTTCAAAAATGAACACCCTCTCGTGGCCAATAAACACATGAAAAATGTTCCACTTCAGTGGTATTAAAAATAAAGTAAATGCAATAGTCAGGATCCTTCATTAAATTAGAAAAGATTAAAAGGGATACTAGTGTTTGGGATTGATGAGGGCACAGAGAAGTAGATTTTTATTCATTACTAATGAGAATGCAAACTAGTGAGAATGGAATAGCCAGCCATTGGATATGTGTTACATTTTTAAAATGGAGAATACCTTCTATGCAGTAATTCCAACTCCAGGAATTTACCTTACAGAATGCTTTCTTACCAAGAGAGAATTTCCCTACCATTTAATCTGGGCTGGTCTCATCACTGGCTCTGATTGTAGAAGAGAACAGGGCTCAGGACATGCGCCCTGAGAGGACTGGCAGATCCTGTTTGCTTTCTTGGAAAGCAGCTACCCTTTAAGTCCAGTTGACCAGAGACTTCCAGGCTATGCTGCTTATCCCCCAAACAGAAAGAGATCACATCAAGGAACACCAAGGATCCACATTAGTGAGGGAGGCCTCTGACTTTTGGGTCCACCTGGGCTGAATGCAGCTGAATGACTCCAGATGAAGCCATGGGTAACAGAACAGTTGAATCCCTGAGCCTGTCTGAATCCCTGAGCCACAGAACTGTGAGAAATAATTATGTCTTAAGTCACTAAACACTTCTTTTTTTGGGGGGAGGGAGAGGGAGAACTCATTACATAGCAAATAACTGAAAGCAAGAGGCAGATCACACCTGCAGGTAGGGAGTCACCTGCAGGTAGGTGCTCACGGAGTGCAGAGGCAGGGTGACTGGCTGGGGAAGAGGGAGGTTATGAACACCAGTCATAGTGCAGACCAGGTATACAAGTGATGACAGGAGTGGTTATTCCTTTATATGAATATATTTGTCTAAACAACAGATTTTCTTCATTTTTCCTCTCTCATCTACACACACTGTTAACATAAAATGTATTAGTCATGGGAAGCCATGTATCTCAAAATTTAGATTACAGGATAGTGGAGGGGAGTGAAATGTAGAAAAAAAATCACCCCCATAAATGTCGTCTATGGCTTACTGCTGAAAAATAAAAAGAAAAAAATCTCAAGCCAGAGAAAAGCAGACAAATGACCTTCATAGGGCCATTTACAAGGCTGACAACCAAAATGATAGACGCTAAGAGAAAAAAAATCTGGTAACTGCAAAAAACATTGCAATTCTATAATGAATAGGATACAATTAGTAATGAATTACTCATAGTTGAGTGTGTAGACCCTTGGTAGGGCACTTGCCTAACATGAAGGAGTATATGGGTTCCACCCCTAGTACTGCAGTGCAAAAAAAGTCTGTAAGATCAAAGAGCAAGATCCAACTGTAGGATATCAAGCGGAAGGATACTTTAAATGTATATAAATAGGTCAAAGAGGAATAAGCAGAGATACAGAAGATTTACTTGTATCAGACCAAGTTGACATCAGAACATGAAATATTGCCAGGAACAAAGAATGAAACAGCATAATGGTAAAGATGACAGTTATTCCAGAAGTTATGTCATTTGTTTTTTTTTCCCAAAGCCTCTAAGTACTCATAGGTATGGCTTTTGGAAGGTGACTGACGAGTATGTGATACTTAATTATGTGTGTGTGATATTGGATTAGTCTACTGATTGGTTTAGCATAGTTCTGGTTGTGATTACTAGACTTATTAAAGAGAGACCATTGTGGGTGTGGATGGCACCAACCAGTAGGGTTGTAGCCTGGATGTAATAAAAAGGGAAAGTAGGAAGAAGTCTCACTGCTTCCTGGATGGCAGCCCACTTTGTTTGTCCTCTGCAATGGCCCTCTTATATACTGCCCTGAGTGGGGTGACCTGTCTGTGAACTGAAACCTCTACAAACTGAGCTAAAATAAAACTTTTCTCCTTTAACTTACAAGTATTGGTTTTCAACAACAAGAAAGTAACTTAAGACACCATTTCTAAATGTGAATGCCTCTGGGTGGGATGGGGGGAGAGGAGAAGGGAACACTTCAAATTTTGCCAAGCCAGAAGTACTTTTACAGGAAAAAGACAAATCCACAGTTTTAGTTGAAGATGTTAATCTCTCCCCTCAGGAAGTGATTGATAAATTAGAAAATCAGGTATACAGAAGAACTGAAAAATATTATCAGCCAATGTGATAATGACATTTATGGAACACTATATCCAACAACAGCAAAATACATGTTTTCAAATGCCCATGCACATACCCTGAACCATAAAAAAACTTAAAAGAGTAATTGCCCGAAGTATGTTCTCCATTATACAAATAAATTGGAAAGGAAATTAGAAAATATTCTGAATTGAATGAAAATGAAAACCATATCATTGTCAGTGGGGGATAGCTAAAGCAGACTTAGAGGGAAATTGGTAGTTTTTAAATGAACACAGAAAAGCAAGTCTCAAATACTGGAGGAAAAATAGAAATATTTCTACAGAAAAAGAGTATGTCCAGTCATTTTATGAGGCTAGTATGACCCAATATAGAAAACAGACAAGAGATACTATGTACAAAGAATCTCAAGGTCAGTATTTTTAATGAGCACAGATGCAAAAATACTTAGCAAAATATTAGCAAATCAAATTCTTCATAATATAAGCAGTTTAATGCACCATGACCAAGTGACCTTTATTTAGTAATGGAAGGTTGTTGCAACACTAAAAAATCAGTATCATTTACCACTAAAAGAAAAACTGTCTCCAAAGATGCAGAAAAACCATTTGATAAAATTCAACATCCATTTATTAAAACATTCAGCAAAGAAGGAATAGAAGGGAACTTCCTTAGTATGATAAAAAACATCTCAGAGAATTTTACAGCTAATTAGGGTAAAGACCAAATGCCTCTGGATTAAATAAGGAATAAAGGCAGAGATGTTTATTCTTACTGCCCCTTTTTGGGAGTATACTGGAGAATCCAGTCACTGTAAAAAGGCAAAAAAGAACTAAAAAGGGGTAATACGTTAGAAAGAAAAAGACTTGAAAATAAGTCTTTTATGTAAAAAATCCCAAAGAAAACCCCACAATCTATTATAGCTGATAAGTGAATTCCCTAACATTTGGTATAAAAGTTTAATGTACAACAATTCAATTTTACTTCTGTATTTTAACAGTGAATTGGAAATTTAGAAGTTGAAAAGTTTTTCTTATGCATTAACCAGACATGAATCTTAACAAAAAATGTATACTAGATTTATGTTCCAAAAACTGTTAAAATAGTGATGAGAAACAGAAAAGACCTAAAGAAATGAAGATGGAGACCTATTTGAATTCACTAATCAGAACAACTAAGTGTAGATAAGGTATTAGTTCTCTTCAAATTGGGCCACATAAAGCAGTTCCAATCAAAATCCCAGAAAGTATTCTTAGCAAGTCAGAATAGTGGAAGTCAGAGGAGTGGAAGGACTCAGTCTGTAGAGAACAGGGAGTGACTGGCATAGGGCAGAACATATGAATCATTGTTAAAAAAGAAAATACAAAGCGGACCCATATGTTCATGGGTAATGATTGTAAGTGTACCAAGGTAATTCAATTAAGAAAGTATGGTCTTCTCAGTGAAAGATGTTGAAGCAAAATATTTCAAGCAAAAAAGAATCTCAATCCTTATCTTACTCTAGTATGTAGAAATAAACTTGAAGAGATTCAAAGACTTGAAGTTGAAGTTAAAATTTTAAAAACAAACATAGGCCAGGTGTGATGCTATAAGTGTAAAACTCAGTTCTGTAAAGGTTGAGGTCAGCTTGGGTTACTCGGCAAGACCCTCGGAGGGTGAAGTGGAAGAGTAGAAGATAGAAGAGCCTGGGTTAAAGATTTTCTGAGACACAAAAAGTATGTACCATAGAAGAAGAAAAAATATCACTTGGACAAAATTTAAAGCTTGAGGTTTTCCAAAGACACTTTTGGTAAAGATAGGAAACAGACACAAAGACTTGAAAACCACTCTGTTTAATTTTTATTATGCGTACAGAATATGTTTGTAGTACATAATGCTTATTACATTCATTGTGTGAATTGATACATGTGCATAACATATCTCATTTATTTTTCTCTTCCTCTCCAATCTGCCCTCCCACTTTGGCCAGCATCTTATTCATTTATCTTATAATTCCTTATAATTACTACAAAGATTAATAGGTTAACAGGCCATAAAATATAAAGACCTCAGACATTTATGCTAAATCAAGATAAACTTTTAGATAAACTGTTCATGCTGGGTTACAATAAATTTTCCTTCTTTTTCCTACTGTATTTATATACTGAGTTTCTCATATAAAAAGAAACCATGTGATATTTAAGCTTGTGTGTCTGACTTCACTGAACATTATGGTCGCAAGGTGCATCCATTTTCCTAATCAAACTCATTTGACTGAGTCTATTGTTCACATTACAATAATACTCCATTGTGTATAAATACCATATTTTCTTTCCATTCATCTGTTGACGGACATTTAGGCTGCTTCTAAGATTTAGCTATTATGAATTGTGCTGCTATTAAACATGCCTCATGTGATCACAGATGAAGTTTTTCAGAGATGGCTGGATCTAAGGTTTGTGATGACGGGATTAAGAGTGTGTGGTTACTAAATTAGCCCACCAGTTGGTTATGTTCTGGGTGTGGAAGTAGGAAGTCCCACTCCGGGTGTGAGTGCTACCTGCCCTAAGGACACATACCTTGGATAGAATGTAAGGGACAGAAACAGAGCTACTGTTGTTGCCAACTGTCTTGCTTTGCCATTGACTTTTTTCTCCGTAATACCCCTCTGTCATACTGAGCTGCTGCCCTGCCTTGGAGCCAGCCAACTATGTACTGAAACCTCTACAAACTGTGAGCCAAATGAACCTTTCCTCCTTTAGCTGTGGTGGGTATTTTGTCTCAGCAATGGGAAGAGTAACTAAGCAGGCATCATATCTCTCTTTTGGGAATTTACCTAGAAATCACATCTGGGTAAAATGCAATTTCTAACTTTAGCTTTTTGAGGAATCCCATACTAATTTCTGTGAACTATTCCCTTTTTCCCTGCAGGCTTGCTAGTATTTGTTACTAATTGATTTCTTGATGATAGCTACTCTTTCTGGAGCTGGAATCTCAGTGTTGTTTTAATTTGCATTTCTCAGATGGCCAGCTATGTTCAACATCTTTTCGTGTATTTATTGGCCGTTTGTACTTCTGAAGTGTCTGTGCCTATTTTTTCTTGGGCCTTTTTAAATTGAGGAAGATCTACTTTAAAAAAAAATTCTTTATATATTCTAGGTATTAGTTCCCCCTTTTGTGAGAGAGGGTCTTCTTATGCAGTTCAGGCTGGTTTTGGAATTTATGTCGTCTAGGTTAGTTTTGAACTCCTAATGATTGATCCTCCTGCCTCAGCCTCCTGCTGAGTGCTGGGATTACAGGCATGCCCCACAACTGACTAGTATTAGTCCCTTGAGGAGTAACTGGCAAAATATTTTTTCTCATTATGTTGTCTCTTCACTCTATTGGTTTTCTTTGCTGTCCAGAAGCTTCTTAAATTTGATGTGATCCCATTTGTTGGTTCTTGGTATCATTTCTTGTACAACTGGGGTTCTGTTTAGTCTTTGCCTACACCAAGTCTTAAGAGTTTTACTTATTTGGTCTTCTAACATTGTTTCTGTTCTAATATGTAGATATTTAGTCCATTTTGATTTTAGTTTGGTGCCTGTGAGAGATAAGGGTCTAGGTTCAGTCTCTGACATGTGGGTAGCCAGTTTCCCCAGCACTATTTGTTATTATCTTTCCTCTGGTATTAGTATTGGGCCCCTTTGTCAAAGATAACATAGCTGAGTGCTTTCACAGATGGGTGCATTCAAACTGAGCAGTCACGGTGTGCTGAACTGCAGCTGCCTGCTTTCTGAGATTCATTTAGCTTTCATAGTAAAGATACAAAAAATACCATTTAATGTGATAACTGGCTATGACAGTTTATAAAAATGATTTACAGAATACATATAATCTTCATTTCAACTGAACAAGAAAAAAATCGAGATCCACTGGAAAGAAAACCACACAGCTCAATTTATTTTTAACTACTTATTGCCCCTCCTCTCAAACCTGCCCCTCTTTTCAATTTTCGGTGCATGCGATCCTAGAAAACTGAGTGGCACAATTTAGAGTTAATAAATTTTTACTATCATAAGCTGAGAAAGGGATTTAGGAAAAACAGGAGGAAATAGCCTTCCATATGAAAACAATAATCACATAATATTTATTGTCTGTGATTGAAGTGTTTCAGATATGCAAAGTAATAAAATATTAGGAAAAGCAAAACTTCCCAATGTTAAAAATATCATAAATTTTCTCCAAACTAAGACATATGAAAAAAGTACAGGAGATACTTTGTGTCAAAGAAAATAACCTTTCAATCTAAGTTAAACCTTGGATCTATCAGAGGGTACAGTGTACCTTCCAGGGAGCCCTGAGGAGACAGTGGCAGCCACCGGCAGAGTACAGAAGGCAGTCCTGCCTTTTTGTAAGCGTAAGAGTCACCTTTGAACAGAAACTCAGTTGGCTTTTATTGTATCTTAAAAAGAGAACGTCAAAAACCTAGGATTTCAATATCAATTTAAATGAACAAAATCACAGTGGCACACAAATATATAAAATAGAGTGGTTCTGGTATGGGCAAAACATCTTTTCTTTAGTTTACAGATAGTTAATCCAAGTGGCCTCCACGAGTCCATTTCTAGAATTCCAGAGTTGATCTCCTTTCTGGGACCACTGTTTGGGTGGATATTCTACATTGATTACTTGACTTTCATAGGTGCTAAAAAGATTGCTTTTTACTGACAGATATTGTCTTACCAGTTTACTCTTTATTCGAGTTTGTGTGGAGTCAGAGTCAGATGGGGTGGTTCCTCAGCTATAGTAAGTGTGAGTGTGATTGTGCTGTCTCTGAGGTCCTTGGTCCCTGTAACAGTACAGGTTTTGCTGCTTTCTCTCAGAGGCCCCAGGGAAACTTGAAACATGGGTCCCTTTGAATGAGTTTGAAACTTTGTATCTGCCCATAAGAAAAAAGCCACTGTCTTCTGTAGTCCTTGAGATTTGCAGGCAAGTAAGTGAAATGCACCCTGATGGAAGATTTTTAAAAAGTTTGTGAGCTCATGTTTAATTGGATAATTTTAATCAAACAACATGTTTACTGAACATATAAGTGCATGTGGGGATTACAAAGAGATGTTTATTCAGAACTTGCCTTTAAGAATTAATTCTGGAGCAGACTAAAGGCAATTAAGAGGTGACTAGGGCCACTGCAGGAGGCTCGTTGGGGGGACTTTAGAGGGCACACCAGTGCAAGAACCAGGCAGGAAAACTGCATTGCAACGTTCAGGGAAGGAGACCATCTCAAGAGGCTAGGGAAGAGGAGGCAGATGGTAATAGAGTAGTGCATGATATCCTACATACTGTCGTGGAGCCAGGGTCCTCATCTGTCACCACAGGCCACAGGCTCTACTTTGGTCTCTGATCTCAAGGATCACTGGCAAGTTGGCCTGTGAGGCACTGACAGTGGTGGTTTCTTGTCTGCTTCCCTGGTTCTGCTGATTTACTGGACTTTGAACTTCTACCCCCCTTTGGGGAATGGATGCAAGCTATTAAACTGTTTGGCTGGCTTATAGTTGACTCTCAACTCCATGTACAGTAACCCAACATACAGGTCTTCTGCCATCTAGCCCTTCCGTCCTGGTATCTTCCTGCAGGATTAGGAAAATGGAAACTTGATACCAGTGCTGATCTTGATTATGCTACTGTGCTAAGCAGCAAACTAAAGCCAATCCGGACTGCTTGTGTCCTACCAGGTGGAAGCTATGGAGTGTGGCAAGCCAGTAGTCCAGCAGTAGCTGCCGCTGCTTGGGACTCTGATGCATGGCACACATGGGCCAGGAAGGCGTGACAGGAGGTGGCTAGTGCCCTGGGAAGCAAACTACCTTTTCTGATGTGAAAGCAGCAGCAAATCAAAATCATCCGAAAGCAAGCTGCAGTACTACAGGCAGTTTGACATTTTAAAGGACATAAACCAGAAATGATTTGTCCTAGCTGGGTGGTGGCACACACTTGTATTCCTCGTGGGTCAGAGGACAAGTTTGAGCCTAGTATGGGCAACTCAGCTTAGCAAAACTCTGTTTCAAAAAACAAAAAAGGGCTGGGAATGTAGCTCAGTGTGGATGCCCTGGGCTCAGTTTGCAACACTGCAGAAATGGAAAAGAAAAATGACTTGTGCCAAAGAAGACAGTCATAGATAGGACTGATTTAAAGAAATACTGATTAAAACAAATGATTATCATTTGTAATTTAAATTGTGCTTGGCAGCTTTCTTTCCATCTTTTTATTTGTCTTAGTACATCACTCCTCCCCCCACCCCCACCACAGGGCTAGGAGAAACTGACTACTATAACCTAATTAAGAGCAAACACTTAAGCACTGCCAGATGTACTTTTGTATCTGCCACTGCAAACACATGTAAATGAGTTGGGGGTGATTTTAAAACATGGATAAGTAACTCGTATGAAAGTTGGATGGTAGCCTGTGTTATTAAGTCTTCTGTAGGAATCTGGTCTTCAGGAAGGAAAGGCTTGTATATGTGGGTCTGTGAGGAAGCTTCCCTCAGTTTGTGTAGTGGCTTATAGTATGTTCTTTGATCATACACATTTATCGTAAGTTTTAAGACATTAAAGAGGAATTGGCAATGTTTCTGCATAATTGTTTTATATGACGTATCTGACAGTATTAGAGAAGGGATGTTGAGGCAGAATAAAATATTCTTGTAATCAAGTTTTTTTGTAATGAGAAATACTTCTAGATTCAGCTAGGAAGCATTTTTTTTTTTTTTAAATGTTACCAGGAATCTCGAGTGCAGTCCATGCTATGTAACTGGGATCAGAGTGCTGGGTACAGATGCCAGCTTGGTCGTGGGCAGCTCTGCAGAGGATGGTTAATGCGCATTGCTTGGTTTCCTTTTTTGCCTGCAAGCAGCAGGAGGATAACAGTGTGCATGTCATAGAGGAATTTTGTTTTGTTTTTGTCTTTTTCCTTTTTATCAGTACCAGGGATCGAACTCACGACTGCCTGCTTGCAAGGTCATAGAGGAGTTGTGAGCATTCAGCGAGATGAACCACACAAAGTGTGGGGCACACAGTGGCTGTGCTCTAATTATTATGCCAGACTTAATTTATCATTCTTCTTGGTAGCAACAAATAAAGTGTTACCTGGTACTATATAAGGAAAGTTTCACTTTGGTTATCTTATTCTTGCTTTTTCTTATATCTTTTTCTGTTTTTACTTTGCTTGGGGAAAAAAATGAGAACAGTGATTTGGGTGGTGATGAGAAGAAAAGGGGACTGAGAATATAATGCTCTATACACATTTACAGTGGTTTCTAACATCTAGTTATGTGGGTTTCTTGTGCCTTTATCGGAACTGATTGTTTTAAAATGTGTTTCCAGTTGTCAAAATTTCCATGATTTACGATAGTTTGAATATTTGGTATTTGGTTCCAGAAAACAAGTCTTTTTCAAGTGCCACAGTATCAGTGTACTACTCACAAAATTTGAAACTTACTCGAGAGGTATAGCTTTTTAATATTTTCAGTTTTCAAAAGCATCTGGCCTTTATTTAACTATCACATTTACATCAAGTTCCTGCAGGCATGGTTTTGCTGTTTAAACTTGGCTTAATGCCCTCTGAAAAAAGTCTTTGCTTTAATAAACATAAAGTAACTCCACTGAAACTGCTAGAGACCCCTGCTCCTCCTTAGTGCCACCACTGTATAACAGCACAAAAATTCAGCTTGAGTTTTAAAGATAAAATGAAGAAAAGATAATTGTTGGAGAATCACTGGGGAGGGATGTTGCTATGACATATTCAACTTGCTTTTAGATTAATTTGCAGAACTGTTTATGTACTATGAAATGTCCAGCTAGTGCATATAGGAAGCTGTAAAATACTTTATGAGAAGTATACATGGTTGATAGTAGAATTTAAGCGCAACCTGGGAAGGGTCTATCTAAATTCCAGTAGGGAGATGAGAGAATACATTCTCTGTAGTGATTTGATTCTTTTATTTTTATTTATTTTTATACAGTGGATCATATGAACTGGAAAGCAGTCCCTGATTTGGAAGTTATAGTTTAAAATCTCGTAAATTAAACTGTCATTTCTAGACAACTAAACTTGTTCTTTTTTAGACCAAGAATCAACAGTTGTGTTTGTCTTCTGCGTGGTAAAAGCATTTAAAGGTGGGTTATTTCATTAAAATGAAAAATAATTAATGAAGATTTCTCCCTAGATATAGGTACTATAGACCATTTAAGAAATATTTGCATGTTGGCTGGTTTTCAGATTTTAAAAAAACCCTTGATACTAAAATTAGAACATTATTTTTGAATCTCATCTATTACAATATGTGAAGGCAACAAGATTATTGATATAACCTCTAAATGGCACATTTTAAAAGTCACACTTCCAAATTTAGGTGAAGACAGAAATATTTTTATTTCTTTCACTCCTAGTCTAAGGAGCAATATCTGTTTCTCCAAAGAGAAGTTATTTGTTAGTTTATTTTCAGATTTGATCTCTAAACCACAAGGGATAAAACACAAACCACTTTTGTGTATTCATACCTGATTTAGAGTCAAGCCCAATGTGCAGAAGAACACAAGTCATTTAATTAATATAGTCTCGCTGAAGATGACTTTACTGTGTATCATTTATGTCTTACCATGTTCCCATAATTAGTCACTTTTTATATATGCTAGTGTGATGAAAGTGCTGTGAAACTTCAGCATGCCTTGGTGATACTCTTACACAGATCTAGTGTGATGGAGTGTAAGAGACTGAAATTGAAGTGCCATGGATTCTTGAGAATCTGGGGATTTGAGGAGGGCTGATTTTCTGTTTAGCCTTGAATTTTTTTCATTTGTGAAATAAGTGTTCTCAATGCTAAGATCATCTTCTGCTCTAACTAGGATTCTACATAGTATTTTAGTCTTGAGAATTTATTGAAGTCACATTTTCTGAAACTTTGCTCCTATAAATTTTATTTTTACACTCATTGCTTAAGTGAAATTTTAGTTCACTTCAGATTTAGTCTTGGGGAAAGGGAAGAGAAAGAACCTAAGTGTGGAAAAGAAAAAGAAATATTGAGCAATTATGTGGACATCTAGACTGGTTCAGGACAGACATAAATGACCTTTTTAAATTCTAAATTCAGCTCTCTGGCTTATGATGAAAAGTGAAAGGTTATTATATGAACTTACTGGGCAAAACCAGATTTTATAAATAATTACCTGTCAGACTGTTCAGGATAGACAAACATACACCAGACCAGCAAAAACACAGGCCTGTCATATTTCTGAGAAATGTACATTGAGTCTTCCTTCTCCGGGACTATAAGATCAGGTAGAATAAAATAAAGGAAAAAACTAAATTCTATATTCTCTGCCTTTTGGATACTTTAAAAAATATAATGTGGGAGAGAAAGAATTTCAGTGTGGAAAAACCACCCCAGAAAATTTTATATGTCCTATAAGCCTGGCAGATCAAAACCAAGTACAATGTTAGGCTGTTTTAAAAGCTGGAATGTTTACTGCAGACTTACAATTTTCATGATTAGGAATACCAAGAATGCTAAAAAGTTTAATTATCCACTTCAGCAAGCATAGATGAATATCCAAATTTTGTGTTGTTTCTGACACGCAGATTGTTTTCCCTAGAAGGTTCAACACAGAAGCAGTAAATGACAGTTTAACAAATGTTAGTGAATAACATGGCACAATCCTATTGATGCTTAATGATTTGGTCATAAGGAAACTTTCATGCTTCTCATTTCCATTTTTCTGAATTCTTTATAAAGGCTTTTTTGGGTATAAAAACCATTATAAAAGTTAAATTATACAGAACTCCCACACAATTAAACAACTTCCTTCTTTGCAATCCATGTTTAATTAGGAATCATACAATTAAGTCTGCTGTATTTTGGTTTGTTCCAGTAGTTACAATTCCTTATTTGCTAGGGAGAATGTGTCAGAGGGAGAGCAGCTGCTCCCATCAAGTACTTCCAGGACTGGCTGCTGGAGGCAGAGGGCAAGTCCCTCTTTCCCATTTCTGTTATTCTAACTGCTGCTGAAGGGCCTGGAGTGAGTTTGAAGGTAGATCTGGGGAAAGCAGGGATTGAGGATGAAGGAAGGAATCTTATTGAGGAGAAACACATGATCAGCAGCAAGTTGGGGAAAAGGCAGGGGAGTGACACTGTACATTAAGTGGGGTGATGGGAAGAGTGGGGACTGGCACTTCATGAGGTTTTCATTAGATCTTGGATTAGTAAAAATTTATAAAATGAGCGTGCCTACATTGATTTTAGGGACAGCCAGTCAAGTGTTGGGAAGTAAGGTAGGTGGAGGTTACTATAGTGGGAGAAGACTGTCCTTTTAATTTTGTCTCCTTTGTCCTCAACCTGGATTATAAAATGTATCAAATAAACTGCCAGACTAAACACCCGGGGTCGGGGGTTACTTAAGCTATTGAGCTGAAGGAAGCAAATCTATGCCAAATTAAGATCTGCATTTTTGTCCACCTACACACTGTCCCAAACATCCTGCCATTAAGTAGTTAAATGGCCCATCTAGTAAACAAGACAAACTGCTGAGGGGGCTGGAAAAGAGCAGGAGTCACACCAAACCAGTCCATTCTGTAGGCTGTGAAGAAGGTGAACTTTCATCCTGTACAGGACGGGGGAAAAATCACCTCAGTGTAACATTGCTTTTCCTGTTGTTGTAGACACAGTTGCATTAGCAGGCAAGAAAAGCCATCCCATTCCGGCGGTAGGCACTCTGTCAAAGAAAAAGAAATCTGCAGTGAATTATCATATCAAGTCAAACAAGGGAAGGAGGCAAAAAGCAAACCAAGCTTCTTCCTCATTTGTAGACTCGTGGCTACAATCTAATAGGGTGTTTAATATGAATAGTTCTGGTGGGAAAGTTACAGCAACCATTCTATTAAAAGTCAGTGTGGTTGACAAGTGGTTAGTGATTCTATCTTTGGGGTGTGGGGGAGAGGCAAAATAAGACACCTAATTTTGTTAATTGATCGGTTAAGCCAAAGAGACATTGTGTTGAATCTATTCTATATGTTCTCTCACATTCAGCACACTCCAGAATCACTTCTAAGTATCTTAACAGTCTATAAATTACTGACTCATGGATCTCCCAGTCCTAATTTATAGTCTGAACACAGAGGCCTTTCCTCTCTAAAATATGATTTCAAAGAAATTCTGCATATTATGGACAGAAAGGAAAATTAAATTCATAATTTGATATATATACATGTGCAAGTCAGCACACATATGGTAATGTGCATGGGATAAACTTTCTCATAATTGATACTAATTGCAAAAATGCAATATATCCCAACTAAGAAAGTACAAACTATTTGTTGTGAGAGAAATTTAACATTTCAGAGTTGGAAGACCTGGGTACCACAGAGTTTAATTACTTGGCCTGAATCTTATTTTGCTCTAAAATGGAGCAGAACTAAAATTCATTACTTAAGATAAAATTCCCCTTTCAGAGGCATACTTTGCATTATTTTAACTTACTACAGTCCATTCAGAATTCTGAGACCCCTCAATAAATTTTTCTGTAAGTTGTGTTCAGGGAAATGGAGAAAATGATAAAATCTCATTAACTTACCCACCACACCACTGCTTGCCCCTGTAATTGAGCTGTTCTGGAAATTTATTGTCAGTGGCTATTTTTATTTAAGAGAGAACAGTGGCAGACAATAAAGGTGGCATGCGTGCAACTCTGCCATAGAGAAGAACCAGGGTAACAAAGGGAAAATGATAAGGGAAAGTTATAAGGGGAGAACTATGGAAATGACCAGAACTATCAGGAACCCTACACAGCAAGGCGAGTCAGAAAGGAAACCTATAGAAAAGGACAAAGCAAATTGTAGCTTTAGCCCTGGCAGGTGTGTCTATATATCCCTCACAGGGAAAAGGTGGGCAACTCAGTACCAGAGCAGTCCTAACTGCATGAGGGTTACATGGTCCTCACAGAGCTTGAATCCATTAGGGGTAAAAAGAACTTTTGTGTTAAAAATGTTCTAAAACCCAAATATGTCAATAGTCTGCCGTTTTCCTCCTGCTTCTGTATAAACAGGCTTGTACTAGAGGTACAAGCTGTACCCATCCTATTTTTATTTCCAGTTTGTTCCCAATATTTGTAAAGTTCCACTTGCTCAAAAGATCCCTGACCTGCCTGATAAATGGTATAAGAGCTTGGGGGCTCAGACTTTGGAGGTATGCAGCTCCTTTGAGCCTGCTGGCACAATAAAGCTTGGTTTTCTCCAGCTGTCCAAGAGTTGCTCGGTTTCTTTGCCTTCAGTAAAGCTGCCAGGTGTCCTCCTCAGAGAACAGGGCAGCCCACCTCTTGTCCAGCTGTGAGACCTTCTTCCAGGGAGGACAGGACTGGACATCCTCTCTGACCAGACTTGGTAGAGAAGTGAACTGGTTTCCCTTAGGATTTCTAGACTAAGTAAGGCCCCTGGATGCCAGCTGATTACCTGCAACGTCTCATACTAGACACCCTAGTCAGGGATTTTTGTAAGTGGGGAGGAATGTTATGACTTTTATTGTGTAAGTGAATGTGCAAATATCTGTGACTGTACAATGAAGGCTAGGAGTCCAACTGGGCCCTAACCTACATTTCCATGGCAATGTCATATACAATAATGGTGATTCATCCCTTGTTATAGGGGATTGACCAGGCCCAGGTTTATATGATAGGTACACATTAGCCAAGATGTGCCTAAGTCCCCATGAGGGATGTGGCCAGGTGGGCATCTGAGTGGTCTCTTTTGGGTAAGTCCCATCCTTGTCTGCTGTGACTCTACACACAATGGGGAATCTTTTATCCTGTAAAGAAGGGGGGTGATTCAGGGATGAGTGACAGTGAGGATGGCAGGAATTACATGAGTAACTTGAGTTGGCTAGCCAGGTGCAAAAAAGCAGCATCTCTGTAAGTTGCAGAAAAAAGATATACAAAAGAATCAATTTACATAATCAAATTAAGGTAGCAATGGAATTGTTTTGGGAGGCTGTCCCTTTGGTTTTTGATATGTAAACTCTTGTGCCCTGGGGAGTCATGGCCTCTTTATCTTGAGGCTCACATCCAGTTGACATTCCTGGAGCTATTGGCTCTAACATCTTGTGTGCTCATATCCTGTACATATCTGAACTGTATGGATAACACTATGTGAGGAAACAAGGCTGTCTGTTGGCTTTAGAGATTACATATTAGCACCTTGGCTAGCCTTATTTGCAGTGCTTAGTGCCAATTAAAGAAAAAAAGGAAACACCCTAGCCAGCCTTTTACATATTTTTTGAGTCTCCAAATAATCAAAGTCACAGTAATTGTTTTGCATTCAAAGGGAGTCACTGGAGTTGTCTCTCACAGAATATGGGAGCCACAAAGAGCAAATCAGCTGTCTTAGATTGCATAGTCAAGAATTTCAAAAAAGATTTTTAATGGTGATCATGGCATAAAAATGAAACTGTCAAAATTCTGGACCCTCTATGAGGTATACTGGCACTGCCTTGCTGTTGAATGGCCTCTGGAGGGAAGTCTAGACCCTTTCCTGATTTGAGTAGTTTGGTGAGTAGTGACCAGCGTGCCTGGTCACCTTAACTAATTCCCATATATAGGCTGTTGGCTAGATACTGCCTAGATTGTCCCTTTGCAGAATCATATCCATATTGGGAAAGAGTCAGGTCTTCATTGTCTGAGGTCCTGGGAACCCAACAAAGACTCCAAGAGAAACTAATATATAGGGTACTCCTGATGAAGAGGTCCTTCCTCCACAGTACCTTTCCTCACCACCATCTATGCCACCACTGCTGGCCCTTCTGTGAACAGTCCACCTCCATTGCGATGTTCCCCAGCCTCAAGCAACCTCCCCAGATTCAGAGGTAAATGAGGCCAAACCTCTGAGTTCCTTGCCTGCTATCTGTGCTCTGCACAACCACCAACTGTCCAGTTGCCCCATTCCCCTTCTGGAAATGGACTTGCTGACTAAACTTGGAATCCAGATAACCTTCACACCTGAGACCAACTAGCCTGACCCTTGGTGCCTAGAAAACCTAATTTTGTCAGTCATAGTCCCCAGAGAAGAAGAATGGAAATGACATACAGTGGATAGACCTGAAGCCTCCATGCTACTGGAGGGATGCCCAGATGTATGAGCCAAAAAGGCCCCACCTGGACTGGGTAAAAATTGGGTGCCACTACTGGTGAAGCTCAAACCAGGAATGATACCTATGAAGCTGAGACAATATGCCATTCCTAGGGAAGCACAGATCAGAATCCTGTAACATATCAACAGACTGAAGGAGGCAGGGATCCTGATAGAATGTCAGTCCCCTCGGGATACTCCTCTGCTGCCAGTTACTGACCAGTAAAGTACCTTTAAGCAGTCTACAATGCCAATGTCACCCTATGTCTTACTATCTCAAACACCTACACATTGTTGAGCCTACTTTTGCCTAGGGCAACCTGGTTCACCTTCACCTGCTTGGATCTTAAAGATGCCTTGTTCTACTGGTGTCTGGCTCCTCAAAGTTTGCCCCTATTTGCTTTTGACTAGAAAAAGCTAAACACCAGATGAAAACTCAGTTGATTTGGGCCATGTTTCCCCAGGGCTTTAAGAACTCCCCAGCCTTCTTCAAGAAAGCTTTAGTTGCTGACCTGCTGAACTGTGTTTTGCTCCAGTATGTCGATGACCTCTTGCTGGCAAGTAAGAGGTAGCAGGATTGTTGAGAAGGGACATGGACTCTTCTTCAATTACTCTAGTACATAGAATACAAAGTTTCCTGGAGAAAGCCACAAATATGCTGCTCTCTGTTACTGGGGGGTTCACCATAACAAAGGGCCACTGGTCCCTGGGGCTAGAAAGGAAACAGGTTATTTGCTCCATCTCAAGACCAACAAGAACAAGCTCTTGAGAGTTACTGGGAGCAGTCAGATTCTTTGGCATTTGGATTCTGTCCATTTGGATACCAGGATTTTCTGGAAAAGTCAAGCTGCTTGGAAAAGTCAAGCTGCTGGAAAAGTCAACCAGGCCAGAGAAAATCCCCTAGCATGAGGGGGCCACAAGGAAGAGACCTTCTAAGAGGTCAAAATGCTATCTGCTTGTGCTTATGCACTAGGAATGCCAGATTTGATCTGAGAGTTCAGTTTCTTTATCTTTGAGAAAGACCCTGTGGCACTCTGGAGTCCTAACTCGAACTAGACAATGGCAGCAGGATGGCCTCCATGTCTGTGTGTCTTAGCAGCCACAGTTGTCCTCATCAAAGAGGCCGACAAACTGACACTGGGACAAATTATACAAGTGAAGGTCCCATGCTTGGTCATGACCTTGATGAATAAGGAGGGACACAAATGGCTCTCCAATGTCTGGATGACCCAGTACCACAGCCTGCTCTGTGAAAATCAAGTCTTTCTGGAGATGACTGAGACTTTAAACCCAGCCACCTTTCTGCCAATTGAAGAGGAACCTCCAGATCATGACTGCGAATAAGTCACAGATGAGCTGTTCTTAAGGTGACCAGATCTCAGAAATACTCCAGAACCTAAGCCAGATATTACTTTATTCACAAATGGCAGCAGCTCTGTTGAGAATGGGGGTCATCACAATGGACCAAGTCATAAAGGCTGGCCCATTTCCTAAGGGATGGTTAGTATAGAAGGCTTGAATTATGATTGCAGGTACATTTTTGCAACTGTCCATTTACATGGATTTATATACAAAGATAGGATTACTCAGGGTGGGGTGGGCATGGGATAAAAAACAAA